CGCCCCGCAGCCAGACCCCTCCCTCGCGCCCCTCCCGCGCTCCCGCCCCCTCGCCCCAACGAAGGTTCCGGGATCGATTAAAAGGAAAAAAAAAAAAGGGTCCTGCCCTCAGGGCTTTGCCCCAAGGCTTCGCAGCAGAGAGCCTGATTCTAGCCAAACGTAATCCCCGCGTCCCTTATTTCTTTCTCTTTAAAACAACAAAAACACATCATCAGATCTTTGTTTTGTGAGAGCTGTTCGATGTCCAAGAGATATTTCAAAATATATATGTAGCTTTAAAATAGAAAGCAGCTTTTATTAAAGCACACCGAAGGCTTTCCTGTTTGTGTTTTGTGTGCCAAATATCAAAGGTTGGAGTAGTTACCTTGGACCCATAAAATATGAGTGGGTTTTGACTTGACAAAACAAGTTTTCTTTTTCTAGGCCCCTTAAATCAGTGTTTTATAAAATTAAAACTTGCCTTTTTCTTATAATATCCTTACAAGATTCGCTTACTATCAACATGGATTTCTCCTTTCCCCTCTCTCCTGTAAATTACCATAATACCTAGTTTTACAAGAGTCCTTACAAGGCTGTACCTTTAAAAATCTCAATGACAACCCTAAAATACTGTTCTAATCCCCATTTTACAGATGAGAAAAATGAAGTTTAAAGAGGCAGAATAACGTGCTGAAGGTCATGTTAAGTGATAAAGCATGGATTCAAATTTTGGATCTTGAATTTCAAAAAATTCTTTTTGGATTACCACCTTGCTTAACCACCACACCACCACCGCTGACACCTGCACTGCGCGCCACCCTCACCTTGCACGGCGCGGGCACCCCCCTCACCTTGCACGGCGCGGGCACCCCCACACACATATCCCACCTCCCATCCTTCTAGGTTCTTTGAACTAGAGACCGACAGCTTGCACTGCAACTGAGATGTCCCTTAACATCACCTGAGAGTACTTGACTCATTTTCTCAGGTCCTCAGCCACGCTGGAAATTGCTTATATTCTCTTTGCAACGAGATGACTCATTCCAATAGAATACACAGTTCAATAATAATAGTACTAGTTGGTATTCTTTTGGCACCTATTTTCTGACCAGTTCTGGGTACCTCGGAAGCATTATTTCATTCAGCTTCCCTGTAGCTCAAAGAGGCAAATCATCTTTTTCAACATTTGAGGAGACTAAGGCAGAGAGGGAAGGAGGTCTGGTAGCATAGTGTCTAAGACACTTGCCTGCTAACCAGACGGCTGGCGGTTCAAACCCACCAGCCACTCCTCGGAAGGAAGGTTGGGCAATCCTACTTCCGTACTGATAACTGCCTCGGAAACCGAAGGAGGGGTCGCTATGAGTCGGGGTCGACTCGACGGCACATAACAACAACAACAAGGCAGAGAAAGGTATATGACCTTGGCCAAAGCCATGTCCACCAAGTCAGGTGGGGCCTGAATGAGGATGCAGTTTCATAGGACCTTTTCTCCCATATTCTAATTCCCCAACGCCAGTCTGTCTTTGGTGAAAAAGAGTCTGCAATCATTGCTATAATTTTGCTGTCCATTTGCATACCCAGGGAAAAAAGTAACATCACTTTTATATTTTCTCTTTTTTGTTCCTTTGCATTCTGCTTTTTCATTTCACTACTTATTACTTCTTGACATCTTATCTCCTGCCTAGTCTCTGGAAAAAATTGCATTTTTTTTTTTTTTTTAAATCAATGAATAACTAGCAGGAAATGTTCCACATCTGCATCAGTGGTCACTGGATATAACATAGCAAGAAAATCAAGAGCTATTGTGCTATCGTTACAAATTTTTTTTTTAAAGGAAAGTGAATATTTGAATATCTGAATAACTTTAGAAACCTAGTACATGTTAATCTAGGTATGAAATTTGATGTTTTGACTGCCTATTGCTGAGAATTCTTTAAATTGACCATATATATTGTATTGGTACTCCTTTTAGCTCTAAGTCTTTTTTATTTTACAACATTCATTGGTGTAAGAGGTATTTCAAAAAGCAATATATATGTATACACATATACACTGTAAAAAATCACATTCTAGAGTCTTAAGTATAATTCTGTAATATGTCCTGAAATTTAGGAAGAGCAGTAAATAAAAAATTTAACATATGAAAAATGAAGCATTCTTCTGATTAGGGAAATAATAACCGTAATGGATTCTAGGGGCCAATAAAAGCAGCCTTGACATTAGAATGTCAGGCACTTTTCACCTTTAAAGCGTAAAATTGTATTTTTCTTAAAATTGTTCTAAAATACCCTCTCCCTGTAACTTTACAGATTTATCCCAGTCTGCTTCATCATGTAGTTATATGCACATGTGCCTCCTTCACTATAGGAGAGTAGGAATCATGTCTTCTCCATCACTAAATCCTCCACAAAGAAATGTTTTCCCCAATACCTCGACCTCTCAGCAGAGTTATTTCCCAATAACACATGCCCTTTTTATCACCCCATACCTTTTCGATAACTGACTCAGACCTAAACTCATATTTAACTTCTACCTTTTATTGTATTTTTGAATATTTCCATTCTATGAGACTTTTCAATTTCTCATGTATTAGATGCTTTTAAAAAAAAATATCCTATGACAATTGCAGCTTCTCTGAAAAAATAAGTTTAAAAAGTATTACCTACTTACCCATTACCATAGTGTCATTCTGACTCAGTGACCTGTAGGACAGAGTTGAACTTCCCCATAAGGTTTCCAAGGCTACAAGCCTTACAAAAGCAGAATGTCACATATTTCTTTTGCAGCGTTTCTGGTGGTAGGTTCAAACCACCAACCTTTTGGTTAGCAGCAAGTGCTTAACCATTGCACCACCAGAGGTCCTTTAAAAAAAGTACTGGACGCTAAAAATAAACATCACTATACTCATATAAGGTCTTCCCTTAGTAGACGTGGGGGATTGGTTCCCAGACCACCACAGATACCATATTCAGTGACTGCTCAAATCACTGATACAAAATGGCATAGGATTTGCATGTAATCCATACACATCCCCCTGCATACTTTAAATCATCTCTAGATTACTTATAATACCTAATATGATATGGAAGCCAGTGTAAATGTTACATAAATAAACTTTAAGCTCCCTCTTAGCCTTTTTGCTTTTTTTTTTTTTTTTTTTTTTTTTTAGTTTTTATTGTGATTTGGGTGAAAGTTTACAGAGCAAATTCATTTTCCATACAGCAGTTCACATACACTTTGTCTCATAACATTGACTGCAATTTCCCACAGTGCAACAGCTTTCTTCCCACTTCCTCTCCATAGTTACCTCTTCACTGTGTCCTTCCCTCCCATTCACTCCTGTCTCCTGCTGTCTCCCTGAGCATACATAGCCCTTCTATTCTCCCATGATTGATCTCTCCAGGGAGTGTATCTACCCAATGTAAATGTTCACTTCATAGGCCTGTCTTTTGTTTGGCTGGGATTAGCTCCCTCTTAACCTTTCACAGATTGCTTTGACCACCTAACTGCTCCCTCTCCCCAAGATTTTCAATCCAAGGTTGGATGCAGATATGCAGAACCTGCAGCTATGGAAGGCTTCTGAATAAGAGCAATCCTTGTTCCAAAGAACTAGTAGTTCAAATAAAAAAGAAAAAATTTATGATAACAAGAAAAGCTCTAAGAAGTTTTACAACATATGTGAAAGGAAAGAGAACAAGTGACATCTTAGAAAACAGCAAATCAATAGTTTCCCTTTAATAGGAATGGGGGGGGGAAATGAACCCTAAAAAATAAGTGGAGAAAGAGGTTCTTCAGAGAGAAGAAAAACTCCTTTTACTGTCACTAAATATCATCTATATATATTAATGTTATTAAAATCTACCAACAAAGATTTGCAACTTTGATTAGATTATGTTCCCAAAAATATTTCTGATACTTTATTTATTTGTTAGGTTATCAGTTCACAAGCCAAAGAACATTGTAAACACTTCCTTTTACTTTGCATGGTGTGTAACTGTAGGGTGTTACATACCATCCAAAGTCCATAGCAAAGGGCAAAATAGAGGGCTGAATTAGTTCAGTGGAAATCTAGGTAAAATGGATGCAAATTGAGATTCTAACACAGGAAAGAAAAATAATGTTACTAATATTCTTAATAATATCAATACTAACATTTATTAGGAGTTTTTTTCCCTATAAAGAATTGTGGATATAATTATTATATTCATTCTTCCAACAATCATATATAGAATCTCATTCTGCTAGAAGATAGAGATTAAAAGACTTGACAAGCTTTAGGAAGTTTAGAAAGGGAGATGGAGAGAAAGTACTTAAATATAGTGTGAAAGTAGCTTCTCTATTGTTGCCTTAGAATCCTTGTCTTCTATAATAGTTGTTCCTCAAGGGTGTCCTGTGAACAACTCATCTGCAATTTTTGATACTGTTTTGAAGAGCACTCCAATTATGAAAGGTTCCTGGATGGCAAAAAATGGTTTGTTTTCAACTGCTAACCTAAAAGTTGGGAGCTCTGGTAGCATAGTCGCTAAAGCACTTGACTGCTAACCAGAAGGCTGGTGGTTCAAACCC